GGATGTGGGAGAAGTAGTTTCTCTCTACAATTCATGGCTGCTCCAGTGAGAGTTTTCTGCCTTCCTTTTGGGTTTTGGGCTGTCGGGACATTTGGAGACACCACATTGGACTTTTTAACCCTGTAACTCTTTCTGCCGTAGAGGTCGACTGATACGGGTTTTTCTTTGGCCGATAAGCAGAGGGCGTCTGGTCTAACATTCGTGTTCTCTCAGCAGTAACGTGTTTGTTTCAGATGCTTTATTATTTAAAGAAACACAACCATACGTTTTTAACCATTTCACCGCCTCCCTAGAACTCCAGAGGACGACCGCTGACATGGTTCACCAGCAGCTCACTGACGGGCTGCTGCAGACACTTCCTGTTCTTCGGCCGACTGAATATCTGAGCGGCAGGTTTCAGTTAATTGAATTACGAAAAGGAGCTTGCAGATTAATGATGGACCAGTTAATCAGCCGTCCGCTCCTGCAGCCTCGCTGGGAAAGGATCAGCAGGGAGTTTAATATCCTCTGTTTGTTAGTTAATAAGATAAAACGTGTTCAGAGTAGTTGCTGATGATTGGCTTTGCTCGTACTTTAAATCGATGAGGTTTTGTTGGAAGCCTCTGGTGTCTGAACGTCAGGCGTTCACTTCCTGCCACAGGAGAATGACCAGAGGGACGTATGAGGGAGAGATTTTGTTGTGGTTATTACAGAGCAGCAGGTGAGAGGTGAGCAGGACGCCTTTAGAGGCTGCGTCGCTTTAATTAAAGACCAGCGTTAATGACAGGACGTTCACATGTTTGATTCCTGCAGCTCTCGGGCGGCATGGGAAGAGCTGAGTTATTATAAAGAACGGGGCCAGTGTGTTTGAAACTCACTGGCCCTCCCTCCAAAAGTTATTTATCAGTGTTACAACAAAACCAAAGATTATAAGTTACTCTGTTAACAGCTTTAATCGGTTATTAAATACATCCTGGATATAAAGAAACTAAAATGTGATCACAGTTAAAATGAAAAAAAATAAAAAGGTTAACAAAACATCATCAACAATCATACACTAATTAGGACTTAATGGTTTTATTAAGATTTTTATTTTGTTGAGGAAAAAGGACTGATAAGAGCTTTTACTTAATTTAACTCACGCATATTTGTTGACAAAGATTTTATCATAATTGTTTTGTATGTTCTACCTCAGATTTATGAAGTGATCCACTGTTTGGCCTCAAGTGATGACTATAAAGACGTGTTTAAAACCACAATAACCATCAGGTTTCTTCAACCTTCACTCAGCAGCAAAAATCAGCCTTTAAACTCAAAAGAATCAACGGTTTGATATGAAACTTTTTATCGTGATACCATTTTTGCCCATATCGTCCAGCCCTACCCTGACCATAATTTACTAAATGAACATCACGCTGTGTTGAAGAAGACTTGAAACTAGCGACTGAGACCATAAAGTCATCAGGAAAGTGTTTACTGAGGGAATAAATCAGCTGAGAAGCAGAAACATTTTCTTTCTGCAGCCGCTGGAGTCGCCCCCTGCTGGCTGCTGGAGAGGACGCAGGTTTAAGTTCCGTCTGCATGGTTTCACGTTCAGACTTGAGATCAGAGAAATTGGATTCGTTGGATTTCAGGTGGAAGAAAGAGAATCTGTGAGCGGACGGTAGCGAGGACGAGCAGAAAGTTTGATTCTGGCTTTAGTGGAGCTTTTTCGTCCAGCGCCGCTCCTTCTAGAGCTGAACTGAGACGACGGTCGCTCTAGAGTGACGCATGAACTCCGATCTGACGTCCAGACTGAGGTCACATTTCAAACTATCAGACCTGAATCTGATGTGGACCACATAGGAAAGTGGCTCGCATCCGAACTGCAAAGTGGAACGATCTGAGCGTGTCTGTGGTGTTGTCTGATCTCCCAGCAGCCTTTGCTCACATTCCTCTGCTCTCTCTTCAGTGGCCATGTTCAGTGTGTGTGTGTAGCGCCGCTGCTGCTGCTGGTTTTAGGACAAAAACCAGAATCTGAGCCAAAACCACATGAAGGCAGAGGGAGCAGGGGCTGCTGGGAAGAGGAGTCCTTTTGATGATCACATCCTGCGGCCTCGGGCGAGCCACCTGAAACCACCCCGAACGCTCAGACCGGCTCCCGTTAAAAGGACGGTTCAGGGTTGCGGCTTGTTTCGATTCACGCCCAGAAACGGATCCAGATAAAATAGCATGAGCAGGTCTGAGTCCACCAGGGGGTCCTGGTTCTGGTCTCTTCCAGATGTGAGAGTAAACATGAGCGGCAGGTTAGGAGGAACCTGCGGGACCGAATCAGGGAGTGTTAAAGGGCCCGTGAACCCGTTTCTGTACTTCCTCAGTGTGTTTCAGCAGGAAGCAGGTCTTTGTTGATGCACCTGTGCAGACGAGGGAAAGGGACACAGGTGCCCTGCAGCAGTCGACCTTTTGGAAGTGAGGAGTTCTCTGGTTAGAGGAGGACGTTCGCCTTTCTCAACATGGCTGGTCGACTTTCAAAATAAAACCCTACCTGTGCAGACTCCCCATCTTTATCAACGCTAAATCCAAGTAAAACTGACAAAATAAATAAAGAGTTTAACGGCGCAGCCTGCGTTCAGTCCACGGTGGACAACATCAAACACCTCGGCCAGCAGGACGTTCAGGGCGATAATTTGGAGAAATAACAAATAATTGAATATTAAAAATATCAGATTTTCATAATAATAATAATAATGAATTACATTTATATCATTACATTCATCATTACGTCTGAAAGTTTCAGCTCTTGTGAGTTTGAAACGTTCAGCAGCGCTTAAGCTGCAGCGTTTTAAAGAAGATGGCCGACTGTCTGTGGCTCTGTGTCCTCCCGCTCGGCCCGAGGCTGGCGGCGGGCCGGCTGGTCGCTCGGCAGCTGGCAGGTACAGATATGGGGGGGGGCTCAGGTTACTGCTGTATTATTCATGTGACGAGCTGTAAGAAGATCTGAGCTCCTTTTGTTCAGCTAGAAACCGGATCAGGTTCCTAATCATGAACAGAAGACTCAGAAATCAGCAGATATTCACCTCCGAGCAGCTGAACTGTTTGTTTTCTTTGTGCCTCTGTGATGATGATGATAACTAAACTTTATAGAAAGATAAAGAAGCCAAAGATTGTGGATCTGCTCTTATTTCTGCTGCTGTCTTTGTGTTTTCCTTCCCCCTCTGGTTTCTGTCTCTGTTCCCGTCTCTTCTGCTCTGCTGGATTTAAAATGGTTGTGATGAAACGAAGCGGAAGGAGATAAAACAACAGGAGCGCTTCACCTTCTGAATCAGTATTCATGTGTTTAAGGTGGCACGTGAGTGGTGAGATGACAGGACAGAAAACGTTGCTTAACATTTAAAGCCTCCCAGCAACAGGAAGGCTTTTATTGTGAAACATCTGCAGGAAGCTTTCTGGAGTTAATGGTGAGCGTGACGCAGCTGTGGTGTGCTGATGAGGCGGTGACGCGTGAAACAGTCAGCTGTTGTTGGGTGTGAACAGTCAATCAGATATAGAGCTGATGACTGATGCATTGTGGGAAGCAGGTACAGGTGTGGTGGGCGCTCTTTGCGTTTGTTGTCTTCTGTAGTTTATTCTGGATCGCAGTAGATACAGAAGCCCCTCCTGCTTTATTCCTTTCTTTGACTGATATTGATCGGTCAGTCTGATCAGAGCGGCGTGGCATTAAACGTAGAGCTCGGTTTATCGCAGAGGTATCGGCGGCCTCGACAGGAAACGTCTTGTCTGTTACACAGTTGGTCCAGCAGGCGGCGCTGGCGGGTCCATCTGTACTCTCTTTCCTATGTGATTACTCACATTAAGAAACGTTCTTTTTTTATTTCAGGTTTTCTGAAATTTGATGTGAAAATATGCAAATGAGACATTATCTAATTAAATATGCGCTAATTTGCATCGATTTGAAGAACTGATATCTGAACTGTGGATTACTGCATCTCCAGCCCTATATGTCGTTCTGTGACTCCTCCTCTATCGCAGCTTTGCCTTATTGCTGCAGGGAGCCATGTTCCTTTGTGGGCGTGGCCAGCATTCTCTGCCTGGAGCAAATGACCATGTATTGAAATCCGTCTCGGAATGACATCATACCTGCTGTTAGTAGAAAAAACTGTTTGTTTGAAGCTGTGGTCATGTTAAACATGAACATCTGACATTGTAACATCATAGAAATGCCAGAAAATATGAAAAAGAATAACGGCTCCCCTAGTTCACTACATTTCTCAGTAGCTTGGTGGCACGCTACATTTTCACAAGCATTTCTGAAGCATCAGTAAGTGACGCCACCGCCACACACAGACTTGTGTGTGTGCAGCCGGTGGAAGCGCTCCTGCCTTTTAGCCCTTTCCGCTAACTGGGGCTCAGGAGGTAGAGCGGGTTGGCCGTTAATCGGAAGGTCGGCGGTTCAATCCCTGGCTCCCCCTGGTTGCGTGTCGAAGTGTCCTTGGGCAAGATACTGAACCCCGATTTGATATGAATGAGTGTGAATGCTAGTTTCTGTTTGAGCACTTAGGCTCAGTGTATGAATGTGTATGACTGGTGAATGCAGATGTAGTGTAAAAACTTCCTGTTAGCCCCTCCGCCAGCTTGAATGGGGGGTAAAATGATTCGACATGACGCCTTTCAAATAAAGACCAACATTTCCATGTCCCTGTTTACAACAATCTATCGATGTGTTTGGGAAATGACGGGTCAGAACATACCGTTACGGTGTTTAAAGGTGCCGATGGCGGCGTAGCAGGAAACCTTTAATCTTTGAAGTTCTGTCTCAAGACTTTCTGTTTCCAGCCTCTGACAGGATGATAGATTACATGTCCTTGTCAGCTGATCAGATAATTACCTGGCAGCTTGTTTATGAAAGCCAGCATTGTTACAGTCAGGTGTTCGCTCAGGTGGACTCACTTCCTGTTGTTTGCCGACTGCTGGTTTGGTAACGTTTTGTTGATCAGCGTGTCTGAGGACTGATGTCGGAGGTTAACCTGATTTCTCTGTTGCAGAGAGGATCTGACGAGCTTTTCTCCAGCGTCTCCAACGGCCCGTTTATCATGAGCACCACAGGTGAGACATCGCCCGCGTCCTCATCAGCCACACGGCTTCTGATTGGCTGTGAGCGAGGCAGAGGGTCCCTGTTCTGCAGGATGAAATTTAAATGCATAAATAAATAACTGATTAAAAACAGAACTAATGTATTGATGAGGTGCAGGAATCAAAGGGTTGACCCTGCTGCTGTCTCCTGTCCTCTGCAGCCAATGGGAACGACAGTAAGAAATTCAAAGGGGACATAAGAGGTCCCGGCGTGCCGTCCAGGGTCATCCACATCCGCAAGCTTCCCCTCGACATCTCGGAGGCCGAGGTCATCAGCCTGGGGCTGCCCTTCGGAGACGTCACCAACCTGCTGATGCTCAAAGCCAAGAACCAGGTCCCGTCCTCACTCGTCCTGTCCTGTCTCCTGTCCTGACCCATCTCCTGTGCCCTGACCTGACCCGTCCTGTGTCCTGTCCTGTCCTGACCCGTCTCCTGTGCCCTGACCTGACCCGTCCTGTGTCCTATCCTTTGTCCTGACCTGTCTCCTGTCCTGTCCCGTCCTCTGTGTCCTGTCCTGTCCTCTGTGTCCTGTGTCCTATCCTTTGTCCTGACTCGTGTCCTATCCTTTGTCCTGACTCGTGTCCTGTCCCGTCCTCTGTGTCCTGTCCCGTCCTCTGTGTCCTGTGTCCTGTCCTTTGTCCTGACTCGTCTCCTGTCCTGTCCCGTCCTCTGTGTCCTGTCCTGTCCTGTGTCCTGTGTCCTATCCTTTGTCCTGACTCGTGTCCTATCCTTTGTCCTGACTCGTGTCCTGTCCTGACTCGTGTCCTATCCTTTGTCCTGACTCGTGTCCTGTCCCGTCCTCTGTGTCCTGTCCCGTCCTCTGTGTCCTGTCCCGTCCTCTGTGTCCTGTGTCCTGTCCTTTGTCCTGACTCGTCTCCTGTCCTGACCCGTCCTCTGTGCCCTTGCAGGCCTTCTTAGAGATGAACTCAGAGGAAGCGGCTCAGAACATGGTGGGTTATTACTCCACAGTGATGCCCGTCATCAGGCACCAACCGGTCTATGTCCAGTTCTCCAACCACAAGGAGCTGAAGACCGACAACTCCCCCAATCAGGAGGTACTCGTTACTGTTAGCATGTGTTAGCCTCTGTTAGCAGATATATATGTACAGAACCCAGCCACTGTTAGCATGTGTTAGCCTCTGTTAGCACATATATATGTACAGAACCCAGCCACTGTTAGCATGTGTTAGCCTCTGTTAGCAGATATATATGTACAGAACCCAGCCACTGTTAGCATGTGTTAGCCTCTGTTAGCAGATATATATGTACAGAACCCAGCCACTGTTAGCATGTGTTAGCCTCTGTTAGCAGATATATATGTACAGAACCCAGCCACTGTTAGCATGTGTTAGCCTCTGTTAGCACATATATATGTACAGAACCCAGCCACTGTTAGCATGTGTTAGCCTCTGTTAGCAGATATATATGTACAGAACCCAGCCTCTGTTAGCATGTGTTAGACTCTGTTAGCAGATATATATATGTACAGAACCCAGCCACTGTTAGCATGTGTTAGCCTCTGTTAGCAGATATATATGTACAGAACCCAGCCTCTGTTAGCATGTGTTAGCCTCTGTTAGCAGATATATATGTACAGAACCCAGCCACTGTTAGCATGTGTTAGCCTCTGTTAGCAGATATATATGTACAGAACCCAGCCACTGTTAGCATGTGTTAGCCTCTGTTAGCATGTGTTAGCCTCTGTTAGCATGTGTTAGCCTCTGTTAGCAGATATATATGTACAGAACCCAGCCACTGTTAGCATGAGTTAGCCTCTGTTAGCACATATATATGTACAGAACCCAGCCTCTGTTGGCATGTGTTCACCCGACCCTCCGTCTTCTTTCAGAGGGCCCAGGCGGCTCTTCGGGCCCTCAATACGTCTCATGTGGATGCGGCTGTGCCGGCCCCGAGTTCGGTTCTGAGGGTGGTGGTGGAGAACCTGGTCTACCCCGTCTCCCTGGACGCCCTCTGCCAGGTAACGCTAACACGACGTAACAAACTCAAAACCTTGCGAGCAGCTGCTGGTTAAAGTCAAACTGGATGTGGCTTTGAACGCAGCTCAGTGTCTGTGACCACACAGGATGCGTTCAGGTACGGTGTTGAGTGTAGGTTAGCAGTTTTCAGCCCAACAACTAAAGAAAGCATAAAAATGTGCTTCGGTTGTAGCTGCATTTCTATTGGACCACTGGCGAATGTTAGCATAGCAAGCCACAGCATGCTATAGGCTGCCGTGGTGTGTCTGTCTCTGATTGGCCAGTGGAAAGGCGCTCTCTTCTGGCCAATCAAATCAACCTGCTAATGAAGTTTTTGCATGAAGGTAGATGGATGTAGTTCCCTCTGGACAGAACCAGGATATCCCGTCCCCCCCAGTCTTTATGCTAAGCTAAGCTAACCAACTGCTAGCCATAGCTTCATATTTAAAGTATCAATCTGACCATCTGTCTCTCAGAGAGGGAAGAGGTTTGTATTTCCTTCAACACTGTGATCAGTTCAGCTCCTCTCTGGTCCTCAGATCTTCGGCAAGTTCGGCACGGTGCTGAGGATCATCGTCTTCACCAAGAACAGCCAGTTCCAGGCTCTGCTGCAGTATCCAGACGGGGCGTCCGCCCAGGCCGCCAAACTGGTGAGCATCACGCTGTACTGGAGACAGCAGGTCTGTCTGTTGACCGTATGTCGAACGACTGTCTGTACTGACGACGGTCTGTCTGTCTGTCTGTCTGTCTGTTGACTGACGACGGTCTGTCTGTCTGTGGACTGACGACGGTCTGTCTGTCTGTGGACTGACGACGGTCTGGACGTCTGTGGACCGACGACGGTCTGGACGTCTGTGGACCGACGACGGTCTGGACGTCTGTGGACCGACGACGGTCTGGACGTCTGTCTGGACCGACGACGGTCTGGACGTCTGTCTGGACCGACGACGGTCTGGACGTCTGTCTGGACCGACGACGGTCTGGACGTCTGTCTGGACCGACGACGGTCTGGACGTCTGTCTGGACCGACGACGGTCTGGACGTCTGTCTGGACTGACGACGGTCTGGACGTCTGTCTGGACTGACGACGGTCTGGACGTCTGTCTGGACCGACGACGGTCTGGACGTCTGTCTGGACTGACGACGGTCTGGACGTCTGTCTGGACTGACGACGGTCTGGACGTCTGTCTGGACTGACGACGGTCTGGACGTCTGTCTGGACTGACGACGGTCTGTCTGTCTGTGTCTCAGTCTCTGGACGGGCAGAACATCTATAACGGCTGCTGCACTCTGAGGATCAGCTTCTCCAAACTCAGCAGCCTCAACGTCAAATACAACAACGAGAAGAGCCGCGACTTCACCAGACCTGACCTTCCCTCTGGAGACAGCCAGCCCACCATGGAGCACCAGGCCATGGCTGCAGCCTTCAGTAAGACCCCACGACTTCCACCGCAGCCCCGCAGCACACGGGTTATAGAGATGTGACTGAGCGACACCGCAGACTCGTTCAAGTCTGTCACTTCACCTGTGTTTATATCAGGCCTGCTGTAACATCTGTTTCCTCAGCTAAATAAATATCCTCATAGGAAGATAGTTAATCATTTTACATTTATAATTTTATTATTGAGGAAAATTATATCGCGATAACATCATAATTGTTTAATTGCCCAGTGTGACGCATCTAGTCCATTAATCTAACGACCAATTTAGTTTATTCTAAAGAAAGAAAAGTTGCCTGTTACTCGATTAACAAACCAATTTATCCAAAACATGTCTAATCAATAAATCTGTATTTTATTCAATCATCCTGATGAAGCACATTAGAATGACAATAGCAGTAAATCTCGAAATGAATCAAATTTCCACGTCACTGACTAATTAGGCTGCTTTTCTTAAAACTTTAAATGTTTCTGACATGGATTCACTTCAATATTAAGTAACGCAGTATGATGATAAGATGTATTTCTGCATCAGTGACCACCTGAAAGGACTCAGTCACAGATCGTCTGTACTGTTAGTTTCAGCTGTTTTCTCGCTCAGACGTGGCCGTTAAATAAACAGAAAATATGAAACGGCCGAACGTTAGATGACTCGCGGTGTTACGTTACCATGACAGCAGCGGGGCAGAAATGACTTTTAACATGAAGGCAGTAAACATTTTAACGGACTACGTGTCCTCGTGCTGATAATGTGCCGTGCTTGTGTGGCGACAGAAAGGTAAACGCGATTTGCGGTGCTGCCGTCTAGACAAAGTGCCACGTTTGTTTCACGTGTTCGTGGTTAAGTGTCTGTCTGAAATACTCCCAAACTTTAGACGGTCGAACACGCAGTCTTGTAGCTGGAGCTTGTCCGGGGGAATCCCACACCGGATGCAGCGACGCACGGAATGCGCGTCGACGTATTTACGTAATCGATTATGTCGACGCACCAGCCTGAGACGCATCATCATGCAGTTTGACTTCTGAAGGACAGGAAGTGTCAGGAAAGCAAAGAGTCGTCCGGTTTCTCGGAGTGGGAGGTAAACCTGTAACTCGGGTGTTGTTTCTTCTCTGCAGGTCCAGGTATCATCTCAGCCTCTCCGTACGCCGGAGCCACCCACGCCTTCCCACCGACCTTCACCCTCCAACCTGCAAGTGAGTCTCACCTGTCGGGATCCAGTCAGACCGCCGCAGCATGTTTACATGGACACCAAAAGAATGACGTCATTCTGACGTCACATGATAGCACTCGATACGTGATCTGAAACCCGCCAGCCACACGTTGCTGTTAAATGAATCTGTCAGTTTCTTTGTGAGATATTGAAGTTAAAACATATTTCAGCTGGTTGAATTTAACGCCTGTTGTGCAGCAGCTGTAAACGGTGTAATCAGCCCTCAGGTGTGTTTGAAGAAGCAGGTTATCGTTTGAGTCTGGATTGTTGTTTTGCTGTGTTTGTCCTGCAGTGTTTGGATTGTTGTTTACTCGTCTCACCCCTCCCAGTGTCCTTCCCCTATCCAGGCCTGACGGTCCCCACTCTGCCCGGAGGCCTGGCCTCTCTGTCCCTCCCCGGGGCCACCAGGCTGGGATTCCCCCACCTCCCCGCTGGAGTCTGTGTCCTACTGATCAGCAACCTGAACCCCGAGGTGGGTCCTTTACTCTGCGTCTCTAAATCCACCGTCAGGACGTCATGCAGCAGGACGTCTGAAGGCCTTTATGACGCTTTAAGTTTGGTTGGATGAAACTGTTGTTTGATTTACAGCCTAATGTTTATATTCTTAGTCAAACGTTTGGACCACGTTTAGAATGAAAAGCCATTAAATAACGTCAGATCGATCAGAAACACAACGTGGACATTGTCAGTGTTCTATGAAAGGAATTTCTTATCTCCTCTTGTTTGGCAGTTTCTCTCATGGGATGGCTTCATTTCTCAGAACAAGAACAGACCGTCGTGTTTCAGGAGAAAGTTCTTTGTTTCTGGACCTTTCGAGCCTCTGATGAACAAACAGCTGCTGATGCTCCAGATACTCTTCTGGCCTAAAGGAGGCCAGTTCTATATATCATCTTTAATTGCAAAAGGGTTTTCTAATTTTCAGTTCTCCTTTTAAATTGATCAACTTTCATTAGCAAACGCACTGTGGATCAGCAGGGCTGATGGTGTCTGAGAACGGGCCTCCGTTAAAAACCAGCATTAACAATGTCCACTCTGTTTCTGATCAGTCTGATGGTATTTTTATGGCGAAGACGAGGACATTTCTCTGTGTGTCTAAACTTTTGACTGCTGGTATATTTCTACATAAACCAAACCTTTTTATTCTGTCAGCACAGCAAGTAGAATAAAGTCCAGCAGCAGACGCCAACGGCTGCTGGCGCCGCTGTTTGTAGCTGGTTACCAGGTGACGCCAACAGGTCGGCCGCTTTCGTGGACAATTCAGTTTTATTCATTTTTTTTCTTTTACACAAATAGACTAAAACCTGGAGGACCGCTTTTCTTATGCGTCTTTAAAACACTACAGGTTATTCACACTGTGTACTGAGCCATGTACATTTTTTGGAACCAGACGTGACCGTATTTGGTCGAGAGGGTGGAGCCAGCTAGCTTGGTTAATTCACGTTAGCTGCGATATTGGTTGCGTTTGATAGTCTTAACGTGAGCTGCAGGTGACTGCAGGGGCGGGGTATAAAAACGGCGTCGACACATTCTGCCTGCGTGAGCTTACTGTGAGCTGAGATCAACGCCTGGCGGAGAAGTGTGAGGGAATAAATCAGCTGACAAGTAGAAACATTTTCTCACAGACTTCTGTAGAGTCGCCCCCTGCTGGCTGCTGGAGAGGACGCAGGTTTAAGGGCTTCACTTCTCAGACCCGGAGGTTCCTGCTCGGACAGAAAACAGTTTGGCTTCAGCCTGATACCTGCAGACAGCTGGTGACTCAGAGGTCAACAAAGGCTGGCAGAAATCTTCGTGGTCTGAACTCTCTCTCTCTGCGTCACACCTGAGTGAACAACAGCCCCACCGTGCCGTTTGATTGGCTGTGTGATTTTCTGATTGATGATGTGTTTTCAGATTTTTGACTTCCTGTAATGTTTTTGATGACCTCACGTTAAACCCTGTTGTCACACACACACACCTGTGCAGTCATGTTTGAACATGTTCCCTCCCCTCCAAAGGTAATTAACCTTCTGATTGACCCCTCACCTGTCTGTTTGTTTTCTCCCCTTTTTAATTTGTTGCCATGGAAACGCCTCGGACCCTCCACCTGTCCTGCCCTCCCACCTTTACCTGTCCTGTCCCTCCGCTGCCTTCTCTGCTGTCTTTAAAGAGAGTTACGCCCCACTGCCTCTTTATTCTCTTCGGTACGTTGTCACTAGCTTCTTATTTTGATCATCAAAGTTTGTTTTTCCTCTTGACTTGGTTTTTAATGAAGAACGAGTGTCTGCTGGTTTTGTCAGATTTCTGCCTGTTGATTTGAGCTTTAATCACAATATTTGCAGCTTCTCCTCAAACTACGCCAGACTCTGTGGACAAAACACCGTATTGAACAATGAGCAATACATTTTAAAGATATGGGAAATGTTTTTAGGCTATTTTAAAGTGCATGAATAAATAAATTCATGATGTAAAAGAGGAAATAATTTTGAGTCCCGTTGACGTCTCCACGTTTAAGAAGATAAGAATCAGAAACCCAAACGGCTGCAGCTGTGTGGAAGCACGAGTTAGTTTTTAACTAAATCCGCTACTAAAGTTCGCCACGCCACGATTGCTTGAGGCGAGACTTAACCACTTTAGACATAAAGTCGTAACTAAGGCCAAGTGGCCAATCACAGATCAGTTTCTTTTTATTTTATTGTTTATTTGACTTTCTGCTTTGGAAATATGTTTGAACTGAAACTTCATGCCAGTCTGCGCTGGGCGTGGCCTCCCGTTCTCAGTGGTGACATTTTTACGTTCAGTGAAATTAGATCGCCTACTTTTGCAGCACATCGCCTCCACGGATACATAATGTATCATAGCAACCGCAGCGTCTCAGCCGGAGAAAACGCTGCGCCCTGGCGCTCCCAGCGAGACGTTTGCAGCTGGTTAGAAACGCTCTGGTGGACACGGGGTCTCCGTAATAATTTACATTATAACCAGGCTTTGTTTGAACTTACACACAGCTGCTGCAACAGGCTGCGGAACATTTGTTTTCACTTACTGTCAAAAATAAAATCAAGTTTGCATTTCTGAGCGGTCGTCCTTGAGGAGGTTCAGTCCTCCCACATCGGTTTCCCTCCAGCTGTTTCCACGTCTGGAGGTTTGCGTCTCTGAGGCTTCATCACAGTTTGTGCGGCTCGCAGCTTTGACACGTTCTGCTATTCTGGGTTGGTTTTCTGGCAGCTGGTTCCTGTCTGATGAAATCTGTCTCTGGAGAAATCAAATCTGAATCTTTAATCTCTCCTCTTTTTTTAAAAGAATCATAACATTTATTTGCTTCTTATTTTTAGCATGTGCATGTTATGATCCCCTCGTGTCAGGAGTCCAAATCGAGGAGAAAAAAAATACAGATCTCACCCAAAAACAGTTTGTCATTAATGTTGAAAGCTGAATCCAGATGGATCCAGTAAGGAATGTTCTCAGTGTGTTCTGGAGATTCTCTGCGGGACTTTTTGAAAACGTTGGGCCGGTAGACCGAAAAGCTACCCCGGAGTTTAAAACCTAAACGGGGTCTGCGGCGTTTTCAAACTTCAGCGTTTGAGGATTCTCCGTTTTTAGTCTGGACAGGAGGTAGAAACGCAGCAGAAGGTCTCGGTTTTAAAACCACAGCGCAGTGGTGAGTTGGCTTTAACGTTACCTTTCATCGCCGTGAGCAGCACAAACTGAAGTCGGAGGCGTTCTCGGGTCGTCCCGCTGGTTGAACCCGAAGCTGCATTCATTGTGTTTCATCTTATTTCAGTAAAAGTTTTGAGTTTGCATGCCGGGTTTCTGTCAGTTTGCATGTCCTCAGTGCTGAATCAGCTGCTCCCATAATTCATAGCTCCTACACGGTGTAATCTGCCATTTTAATTTTCTCTGACCCTTAATTTCCTCACTGCGTTTCCTGTTTATAACATTCAGAAAGTTCCTGCCTTGGACATGAAGCTCAGCTCAGTTCCCACAGCTCAGCGCTGCTGCTGCTGCTTTTCCTTCAGCGCTCTGAGGATCTCAGTTAACTGATTTGGCCGTTAGTCTAAGGGTCAGTGGCTTGGCAAGCCGCAGTCACACACACGGCGTCCTGTAGCGTTTAACGTGCTGAGCTTTACGCGTAGGTCCTCCTGTCTGTGTGTCACTTCCTGTGCAGCTGGAGTTTAACACGTTGTTTGTCTCTGGCTGTGTGTACAGGTGTTTACGGCGACGTGATGAGAGTGAAGATCCTGTTCAACAAGAAGGAGAACGCTCTGGTTCAGATGTCTGACAGCACACAGGCTCAGCTAGGTAACCTGTCGCACGTGCTCAGTGGGCTCCACGGACAGGACGCCTCTTTTCTGTCTGATGCCACATTCTGTGATCAGGGTCCCCAGTTGGATTCTGGCCCCGGGCCCTTTGTTACATCTTCTTTTACTGAAAGCTTTCAAATCGATGAAAACGTTTCCACCTAAATAGGAAATATAAGAATCCAGGTTCCACTTCAGACGCTGGTGAGAACTAGGGAGGAAACGGTATTAACGTGAAACTAAAATGTACTGAAACCATTTCAACAGACAATAAAATGACCTTTTTGTTTGCATAAACATTAAAATAACAGCCAATACCTTTTAGTAAATGAATGAAAAAAGGTACTGCAAGGAGCCCTAGAGCTGGACCGTTGGCTACACATTCGATTTTTAATTTTGAGATTCAATTATTGAGGGTTTTTTCGCGCTGACAGCGGTGAACTGAGCACTTCAGTTCACATCAAAGGGAAAACTAAATGAAGTGAGAGCAGTGTGGCAGTTACGCTTTATTCATTTAACAGCTGCTTAATTTTACAGATCAAAACAGTCAAGTTTCCTACATTTTAAAATGAATCCGTAAACGAACAAACATCATGAACACATGTACATCATCATATTGGGCCGATTGTAGAAGAAGAACATTTAGTCGCTAGAATAACGTTCTCTCACTCACAGACTGACTTAAGGCCTTTTCACACGGGAAGCGATCTACGCCGACATTGCGACAGGCGTAGCGACAAGTGGGCGTGTTCCCGTGAAAGCGATGTGGGCGTGCTCGTCTCAGAGCGACCCCGCGGGGCCAGGGGACTACGCAGGCGCGGCGTGTGAAAAGGCCTTTAAGGCAAGTTTATTTGTATAGCACATTATAACAACAAGCTAATTCAAAGTGCTTTACGTAAAACATAAAAGCAACAGAAATATGTAAAAGTTTAAAAGCAACATAAAATATAATAAAAGTTAGTGTTACAATCAGGGTTAAAAGAGTTAAATGGAAAATAATAAAAAGCTAAAAACAAAGAAAAAGAAAACAGGACAGTAAAAGTTACAGTGTAAGTTATCAATAAAAAGAAAACACAGAGCAGCCTGCAGCGTTTCTCCTGTTCTGACAGCTAACGTGACAGCTGCTGGATTTAAAAGGAACGAGAGACGCTGGCTGTGGACTGAACTGCGTAACGTGTTCACGTGCAGCGGACGCAGCGGCAGAACAGCGTGCAGCAACACAGAGTTCACAAGCTGTCAGACAGACGACCCGAAGCTAGAAGCTAACTCGCCCTGCGTTCGCTGTAAGCGCTCTCATAAACACTAAAATAGGACCAGACTTCAGAGCGACTGAAAAGTCTCCGCAGCGCCGCCGTGTCGTCATCGACCCAAACAACGCTTGCGCCTGCTTCTGGGAGGCGGTCGCTAACTTGGGCTGATGCTGGACAGTGTTTGCCGTGAGTTTATAATAGCGCGGCGACAGAACCCGGTTGTCATGGGAATGAAACTGTGTACGGTAAGAAGAACCCCAGTTTATCGTTAAACCGTTTGATCCACCAGTAAGAACAGCTGGCAGCAGTTTAACAACCTGATTATTGAAACATTCAGGTTATAACCAAGAAACTATAATTATCAGGATAAATGTCAGTGATTTCTGTTCCTGAGTGAAACTTGATGTGGTTTTAAAGATTTATTTATTTACCAACGAAAGATGATTAAATCGGTCCCTTTTATACAAAATAAATATTGTAATAGAAAAATAAGTGCTATTTAATATTAATAAATCACCCGGCCCTCGTTATAACGGGCGTTAGTATTTAGTTTTATATGCTCGTGATGTGGAGATTCAGAAGACGCAGTAAAGTGTAGCAGCGATGTGTCTTCAGAGAATAAAGTTTCACCTGCAGGTGAAAGAAAGACTCAGTTAGGTTTTATACGTTTCCAGGTGCCGTAACGCACTTTGCTTTCTGAAATAACAAACGCAGTCAGAAACTTGAGCAGCGTTCTTCCCCTGCCTGCTTTGCAGCCATGAGTCACCTGAGCGGCCAGCAGCTGCACGGGAAGTCTCTGCGCATCACGCTGTCCAAACACACCAGCGTCCAGCTTCCCCGTGAAGGCCACGAGGACCAGGGCCTGACCAAAGACTACAGCAACTCCCCCCTGCACCGCTTCAAGAAGCCCGGCTCCAAAAACTACTCCAACATCTTCCCTCCTTCTGCCACCTTACACCTCTCCAACATCCCGTGAGTCCTGAACACCTGCAGTCCACGCCGAGGGGCCGCCTCGCGCTCCGCTCAGGCCTTCAGTGCTGACGCTGTTCTTGTGTTTGCAGCCCGTCTGTGGTGGAGGACGACCTGAAGATGCTGTTCTCCAGCTCAGGAGCCACGGTCAAGGCCTTCAAGTTCTTCCAGTGAGTCAAACTGATTTCCTGTCGTCCCCGCTCTCTTGCAGGTGTTGCGTCTGTTTGTGCCCCCAGTCCTCATGTCTTTACCCCAAAGTCAAGGAACCCTTTGTCTTGAAGTCCCTGCGGCTCTCACTTCATGCTGCTCTGGAACTTTACTCTGTTCCCTAAAACCCTGATCCTTCCTGAAGCCTTCAGTCTTGTTACGAGCCTTCATGTCACTCTTGTCCTGAACTCTTTCTGCTTTTCCCTAAACTTTTGTCCCGAGGCCCCTGAAGCCCTCATCTGTCCCCGCAGCCTTACCCTGAGGCCCCTGTGACGTGTGATCACGTGACCTTATGAGATCCCCGTCAGTGTTTCCTCTAGGATGGAGCTGCACCTCAGAATAGTTTACACTGTCACTGCTTTCCCAGTTTAATGTGAGCTTTAATGAATGTTTTGGTGTCGGCCATCATGGGGAGTTTGGGGGTCCATTTGTTTTCTAATGATAAATATGTAATTTCTCATCATATAGGGCCGTTATAGAGTTGGAAAAGCTGGAGCAGATAATAAAGATCAGTCTGCCGGGGAGGAACTACAAAAAGTAATTTGGTTCTGATGCTGCTCAGAATCATTACAGATACGATCGTTCATGTTTTTGTGTCTTCATTTTACAGCTCCTGACATTTATCTGTACAGATTAATATAAAAACAGGCAGCATGAGAAACCTCCTCCCTTCTGAGCTGCATTTCATTTCCCCATTAAAACAGAAACGTCTCCTCATCAGCTCATAAGGACGAGTTTGCTTCACTGATTAGCTTCACTAACCCGAGCTCCTCCGGTCACCTCCGTCCTCTCTTTTCCCGACTGAAACCTGACGGAGCTGCAGGCTGCACCGGTTTGTACCTGATGTTCAACACATTAAGGGTCGGCAGTGATAAAATCCAGCTTCCAGTGACTCTCTATGAACTGAGCTAATGTGCGAGGGGAGGGAGCGAGGGGAGGGAGCGAGGGGAGGGAGCGAGGGGAGGGAGCGAGCCGAGCGCTGCCACAGTGTGCCAGTGAAAACATTTGGAGCGAGTAGTTTAATGATGGTGGGAAAGTTTAGTAGCGGCGGTCATGATTGATGCAGCCAGCGTTACCCCTGCATGCATCAGACTCTGACGGCCTCTGGTTGGTTTCTCCCGCAGGAAGGACCACAAGATGGCTCTGATCCAGATGGGCTCAGTGGAGGAGGCCATCGAGTCCCTCATCGAGTTCCACAACCACGACCTGGGCGAGAACCACCACCTACGGGTCTCCTTCTCCAAGTCCTCCATCTGAGCCTCAGACTTCACCGTCTGAATCCTCCTCGCTCGCCTGAGAGCGGACTTGGTGTCCACTACACTCCCATCATTCCAGTCTGCAGAAACCGCCGTGAAGTCTGGTGTGATGTTAAATTATTTTTTAAAACATGTTTTATTCTCTGCCTTCGAGGAGCATCAGGGTCATTTAAAGAAACCGAGTTCTGAGTGTCAGGATTTTAAGAATGAATCAAGAACTGACTGACGCTTCAGACTCGTTTCTCTGTGCTCCTGATCCTCGTCTCTGAAGTTTCCCCCTTTTTGAAGTAACGTCTTTAAAACACGACAGCGTTTGGGAAGTCACGGATTAGCTCCCGAGCGGTCGGATGTTTGGCCTTCAGATGATCCCCGTGCCTTATTCCTGGAGTCGTGTAACACAAATCTCCCATCATGCCTCTGTAAATTGGCAAAGAGCAGGTTTACAGTTGCTGAGCTGTATTGCAGATATATCCGTGTTTTGTACTGCTGGTTAGCGTCAGACGTGTGAACGGTTTCAGCGCTCTGCTGGGTCTTCACTCGTAGATTCTCTCTTCTGTTCCTTTTTGATTTCTTTATTTCCATGTATACAATCGAGTTTTATTCAAATCAGATTATCGTAGCAATATTTTAATCATTCCTTTTTATTTGTTGGGTTTTTTGGTGTGTTGGCGGTTCCTCTCGCTGCTCCGCCGCCTTCGACGAACCGCTCTGTTACTCGCGTCTTCTTGTGAATCACGTGTCTCGTCCGTCGCCGCTCTCAACGGTTTTATTTATAAGTTTGTGATCCACTACAGCTGAAACCAAAAACGGCCTTCTAGATGCAAACAAATCCGCCTGCCTCAGGTTTGTGGTTTTAAGGACTTAAAAGACAAAAGACCTGGTTCAGGCTTTGTTGGTGTTTTCCTGTGGGAGTGTTTTCACTGGATCCAGCCCACCGGTGCGACGTCGGATGTAATGTGGAGTGCCTTCGCCGCAGCGCCGAGTCGTACATCAGGTATTAATTCCTCTTTATTCGGAGATGAAATGTACCGAAACCACGCGGCGCTGGTTCGGTTTATCTGTGTCTTAATATTATTATGTCGACATTCCAGCCGCTCAGACGTCCACCTGAAGCTCCTTCACCGTCTGAACGAGCTGCTGAAGGTTCGGTGCATTCAAAGACGCCTGGGAGGTTCAGGTCCGGCTCGTCCTCCTTCACTTCCTGACCAAACAGACCAGAAGTCCCGCCTCAGTCCAGAGACTCGGAGGCGTCCGTCGCACGTCGGGCAGATCTTTAATCCTCCTCGCCGTCTGAAAGTTAAACATCGTCAGAGACGTGGGGAAAACTCCGATTGGCCGCAGCTGCGATTAAATGAAAGACGGAGCAGATCGAACCACTTGTGATTATCGTGAGATGTAAAAAGGTCTCAAGTACGTGATTGTGTCTCGTTCTGATTCAACGTGTCGCCAGACTCAAACTTTTCCTTTAAAACGTTTTTCCAAGCTGTGATCTGGCTTCTAGAAAGAAGCAAATGTTGATGCGGCTCTGTGAGGAAGGACCAAAACTCTGCCGTCTCCCGCGTGTCAGTAACCCCTCCCCCAAGTCGGCCGCCAGCTGGACGGCTCGGACACAAGACCGTCCCCCAGACCAGGACTCCTATCGCACAAGTTGAACTCGTAACGCTGCGTTCACACTCGTCAAGCTGTAGCTCTGTGCGCGTGGTTTACACACGAGGTCACTCCCTGTACGGTTCGTCTAACGTGAACAGAAACGAGCGCTCCTCATCACGTGGCGTGAGCAGGTTGACTCCTCCCAGGTGTCGTCGTCGTCGCCAGGTGACGTGAACGAGTTCCTCGTAAGAGGCGCTTTTATTAATTATCCTTTCAGAAGTTTGCGTCGGTCGTCAAAGACGGACGCGACAAGGCGTCGTCCATCACTGCGGGGAGGACGGGGTTTCCCCAGTTGACTTGAATGCATCACAGACCTTCAGCGTCAGGTGAGGCAGGAGTGGGACCAGTCTTCAGTAGCGGGGGGGGGTTGCAGTGTACATACGTGTTTTATACCACAGTTACGTGTCTGAGAGCTGATTGGTGGTTTTATATCTGATCAATCATGTATATTTGATTAACGTGTGGTTCTGAGCCTTTACACTGATTGTGTCACAGCGGGGGGGAAAACAGATTAAATCACTTTTTATCTAAAAACTCTGGAGACTCGCGTCGTCTGTCGTAAATGTTTGTATGTTGTGAACATGAACAGAAGAGAAACGGGAAGCATCTGAGCGTTTACGTTCACGCGTTAATACACCGATCAGCCGTGACGTTATGACCACCTGCACAACATTGTGAGTGTGTCGATCCTGCTGGAAGCGTGCGGATGGAAAAAGCCTCATCAATGGAGCGCCGATACTACGATTCACCATGGCAACGGGTAGATGAAGGCAGAGCCTCCATTTTAATGGGGTGGAGCTTAAAAATGAGTGTCATTTAAAAAAAAGTGGAGGAACTTTAACAATATTAATTAGTCCGCTGATTCAGCACAGCAGACCTGACTTCCCTCAATGAAAGTCTTTATTACATTTGATATTTTAATTTATTTATAGCCACAGCTGGAAGCTGACGGCACAAAACGCCAAATCCAACAGGTAAGACGCAGTTTACTCAGACCGCAGTCCGACCCGTAGGCAGCTGCTGGAAAGTTTGTCTGTGTCCAAACTGACTGTGAACTTTTAGACGTCTATTTTAAATAATAAAATATTACTCGTTTTTTAGGCCATTTATTGAAATGTATTGAAAACAGAAAACATCCTGATGGAAACATCACGAACATGATGCCGGGTCAGGACCGGAGCGCTCTGCAGCGGGGAGTCGAACAGAAGATCGTCTCCAGAGTGATGTCGGCGAGGAGCCTGCAGAGCCCAAAGGATCCTGAAGGACAGAACCCACCCAGCTGCATGCTGGGAGGAAACGTAAATGTTTCTGCTGGCGCCGTGTAGCCTGTGCTGAGGAGAAATCCACGCTGTCCGGAGATCATTGATGAAGATCATGTTTGGGTAACGAACGTAAACTTCTGCAGGTGAACGCGTTCGTGTACGTGCCTTGATATCGACCGGATGAACGAGGAAATGTCAGACGGCCGCTTCAGGCTGCGCAGGAGGGGAGAAGTTGAGAGGTGGGGCCTCTGTGGTTCGGCCTTGTCGGTCCAGCACGTCCCACAGACGCCGGATTAGATTGAGATCAGGAGGCCAACACCGTTTCCATGACGGCGGCCTCGGGACTCGAACCTTGGTTCGCTGTAGACCAATGCTACGCGTCAAAGTAACATCCACGTGACCGGCAGCACCCAAGGTTTCCAAGGTCCAGAGCATCACACTGACTTCTTCCCATAATGCATCGCGGTGCCGTGTGTTTCCCCCAGATAAGCGAATCGCACGCACCCGGCCCTCCGGGTGAAGAAAGCGTGCTACGTCAGACCGGGCCACCTTCTTGCATTGCTCTGTGGTCCAGTTCTGATGCTCACGAGCTCATTGCAGGCGCTTTCATCAGTGGACAGGGGTCAGCGTGGGCCCCCCGAGGCCCCCCGAGGCCCCAGACGCTCTGTGTTCTGACCCGTTTCAGACAACTTAAGATGTGCAGAGATGCAGGCAATGCATTTTAAATCCAGCGGGACAAGAAGAAGACAGGAACAGAGACGGCCGGCTGCAGCAGGGAGACGTGTGCAGGACGTCTCCTGGAGCTGCTCAGGTTTCTGCTAACAGCTGCTTTATTCCACATCTGCATTCACCACAAAGGACAAACTGGATCCTGCGCTCTGTTTACTTTCCTGAAAATCTGTGCAATACATTTATCTGGTGGTGGATTTAAATTCAGAAATTGTCCCGTTTTGAAATTGCGAGGAGAAAACATTAAAAAACAGCCTAAGTTTGTTCAATTTTATGCTCACAATTCTGGCCAAACGATTGTTTTCTTAGTATTTTATTGAGTTTTGAACACCACTGTTGCATCACCATTACAGTTGACTCTCAACATATATTACATAGTGATGATACATTTTTGGACAAAAAGAAGAAATAAAAATACAAATCTAAAATGTTTAGAGCAGAAGAGGTAATAGAAATCAGAAAAAAATAAACAAAGAAAAAACAAACGCATGGATCTAATGTACAGTTTTACAATAAGCAGCACGTTCTCATCTGGTTGCAAAATATTGCACGTGTTTTCCCCATGTCCTCACATATTTTTCTGCCCTGCCATTGATGTTGAAAGAGATTTTTTCGCCCCCCCGGGGCAGTAACTAGCAGGTGGCGCATTTGTAAATACTTCCAGAGGTTATTTCTGGGTAGATTGTATTAATCAGCCAACCTTTCAAATGACTTTATATTGTCTCTATCATATATGTTTGCTAGTGTAATAATTCCTTTTTCTACCATCTTTCCACAGAGGGGATGTTTATTAATATGTAACTTTGAGTTATTCCACATACAAGATTCAGAATTCAGATGTACATCGATATTAAAAGCTTTAGCAAACTTCTTCCACACATCAGAGATTTGGGTATGATGGGGTGAGATTTTAATTCAGAGGGTATATTGCTAGACAGAGCATTTCTAGGGGTAAGTGGGGAGAACAATCTCCGTTCAATCTCAAACCAGGGGCCACCAGGGAGGGGCCCTCATGTCCACGGCGATATGTCTCAGGCAGAAGGCTCAGTGATACAGGGCTAATTTGGGGAGGCCCATGCCAACCTTATTGACTGGCACCTGAAGCCTTTCTCATTTCATCCCTGCACATTTACCATTCCATAAAAACTTTTAAAGTACTTTTGGGTATTATAGGAAGGCATTGAAGCAAATAATTCAACCTCGGGATACAGTTCATCTTCAGGACGTTGACCGTTACCCATAATGATAAGAATAGTGGTGACCATCTATCTGTAGCTAATGAAATTTTCTTAAAAAGGGGGTCCAAATTCTTTTCGAGTATTTTATCAATTTGGTGAGGGAAGAGAATGCCGAGATATTTTATACCTTCAGTAGTCCACTGAAACAGCCCCGCCTGAAATAAAGTTTTTGGGCAGTATGAGGTCAGCGTAGGGCCTCTGACTTAGACCAGTTCACTTTACACCTTGATATCTTGGAGAACGTCTCAATAACGTCCAACAGTGCTGGGACAGATCTGGCTGATCTCAGGCAAGCCACAAAATGTCATCAGCGTATAGCAGAATGTTATGTGTAGACTCCAAACGATTGTTTTCTTTTTATTTAACGGGGTAAGACTGGCTGAGATCAGTGATCAGGGCGAGCTGGGCCAGGCAGCGGCAGACAGAGATCACAGCCCACAACAATACCACAAGAACCAGAACCAGCTTCACGAGTCGGGTAGGAGTTCACATTGTACATGTGTCAACACAGACTACAGATGAACAGCAGTGTGGGATTGGAGGAAATGTGTGTGTGCAGATATTAGGATGTACGAATGATTGTGGACATTTACGCCCACGTTTTGAAAGCATTTGTTGAAACTATTCTGAAAAACAGCACCAAGAAATGTTAACTAACCAATGAAAATGTTTTGAGAAAAGGTTTGTTTGCACAAGAAGGAAACGTGCACTGCAGAAAAGTTTCCCTCATACAAAAACAGACTTTTCCACCGTGAATTGGAGCAGAAAATGACCAGTTTAATGCTCAAAAGGACCTGGCGGAGGGTGACCCTGACCCCAGAGCCCCGCACATGGTGATCCACAGATACACAGTCACGCCCTTGATTGTGGATGAGATCTGTGGAGAGCAAAGGATGCTGGGAGAATACAGGTGGATGTTCTTGTGTCTGGAGCTCCCGGTTCCTCAGAGTGATGGCTTATGGGTAAAATCTGTTCCTGCGCTCTGTGACTCCTCCCACATCTTTTTGTTTATGAATCTGCAGAGTCAGT